CTGGAGAAGTCACATGGAGACCCGCTAGCCTACGATCTTCCTGCATTCAGTGTCATTGCCTGTATTTCGGGAGTCTGAAGAGGACTATATAGAATGATATCAAACATATGGACTAATATAGGACTTATGGGCTTGGGCTGGACTGGGTTGGGATGTTTTCGCAATATTCAATTGCTCTTGTATAAAAGCTCTTTGCCCGTGAATTTGTTTCTCTAGACTACCCAGACTAACACAATGGCCCATTCCTTATCGCTGTATTATACCCTATACTTATACCTATAAGCTACTCTATATTATCTATATCCCTTTATTATACCCTATACTTATAACAGTCACACACTGTTTTGATGATGGTAGTTTTGAAATTAAGAAGTGTGAATCCTTCCTTCAACTTGGTTCTTCTTTTTCAAAACTGACTTGATTAGTCAGGGACTCTTGAAGTGCCATATAAATTTGAGGACTGGCTTTTCCACTTCCACAAAATAATAGCTGTTCGAATATAAATAGGAATCGTAGTACATCTGTAGATTGCTTTGGAAGTAGTGGCACCTTAATGATGGTAAGTCTTGCAATCCATAGACATGGATATCTGGCTCATGTTTCTTTTGCTTATGTTCAGAGCCATCTTTCACTTTTGTAGATATGCTTTAGGCAGATAATTACCTGAACCTATTATCTTCAACCTTTAGTGTGCACGATAAGCCCTAGTGGTGCAGTGGTGAAGCACTCAGCTGTTAGCCCAAAGGTTCGAATCCACCAGCTGTTCCACAGGAGAAAGCTCTGGCAGTCTTGGTCCATAGAGCAGTCTTAAGGTACAGTTTTGCTTTGTTCTATGGGGTTGATATGAATCAGAAGCAAACCGACAGCAATTGGTTTCGTAGACATAACTCTCCTAAGAAAGATGATTGAGAAGGTAGATTCTTGGTCTTGATTCCAAAGAGTCAAGTCATACATGGGCGGGTCAAGTAATCTGCATTTTCACAAGTGTTCCATAGGATTCTGAGGCTCTCCCGCTGACAGACAGTAATGTATAGACCACGTACACAAAGGAAGCAGGTTCTGATATGTTACTGAACTCTGGTGCCAACCACGAGGAAGGGTCTATACAAACAATAAATATTTTTTGAATTCCTTATTCTATGCATTCAATATTTACTAGGTTAATATTTATTTCATGAAATATTATTTGTGTATTGCTTGTCTAATTAGGCCCTAACGGCTTATAGCATTTTACTCTCCATAAAGCACTCCAGGGGCTTTATTTGAGGGCTCCCACCCACGTCTGTGTAGCCAAGCCCGGCTTTCCTCTAAAGCTCCGATTCCACCTTGAAACTGCCCGGTTGAACACTGGCATATGTGTATTTCAGAGAGCTACACAGAGTCTAGAACTTATTTTTCTTGCAAAGCCACCTCTGCAACTTGAAAATTCCCTCCAACCATGCCATTCTTCTCTAGGACACCTCCGCCTCCTTTTGCTGCTTCACCTCCCTATGCTAAATCCAGTTGAGTTTTCTTTCCTAAAACTTCCTCCTTGGCTCCAGAGCACATTTACAATTCTGTGGCCATAGCCGGAGTTCAAGCCTTTATCAGTCCTCTTCTGAACCCCCTGAATGGAATCCTAACCAGCTCTCCCCTAAGTGACAACGTTGACCGCTAGATCACATTTTCTGAAATACACGCTACATCTGATCCCCCCTTTGCACAAAAATGTTGACACTATCAGAGTCTCTTAAAAACAAAGAGCCCTGATGCTTTGCCTGGCCTTCAAGACCCGCCATCGCAGTCACACTCATCTCGCCAGCCTCCCAGTCACCGTCTCCTGCTGGGATCCTGTACTGCCAGATTTCCTCTGAAGGCGCCTTCCCTATTGGTAAGTCCGAACAGCTGTTCTCATTCATTGTCTCTATCAATTGTGTGGGACAACATCTGGACTCTACTTTGGCACTTACTCTTTCTAGGTAGGCTGAAGTTGGAAGAAACTTTACTTATATGACTTAGGTTATGAAATGAGGATGGAGGCGAAAACATGATGGTTTGGGGATGGATCTTGCACCCCATTTTGCTTTCACACTTTTCCCCAACTCTTTTCATTGTCCTTGTGTAATTGCGTGGGATTCGTTTTTTTTTTTTCACATCAGAGAAGAAAGGGAAGAAGTGCGGGTTTGGGGGGTTCCCTCTGGAAACTGACCTGCAATGGGTGGGCTCAGCAAATACGGCACAGCATGAAGAAAGTAAACCACGCCCAGTGCTGATGACAAAGAGGGGGTCCCCACTATTTCTGCAGTCACTACTGGGATCAAGGTCACGTAGGCACCGTCAAAGTAACCAAAGGTACAAGAGAAAGGCACAAGCAACGGGAGACTTTGAAGCATTGGGAGGCAGAGATAGCAGAGCCCATCCAGGCCCACGGCAAAGAGATAGCAGACACACTGGTAGCTCTTCAGACACCTGTGAACCAAGAAAACAAGCATGTTATGGTAAGCACCGATTCTGTACCCTGGCCGAGCGCAGTAAGCATCATAGTTATACAGAGAGAGAGCTGTTCCACTGTGTTATCTAAGGCGTCTTTTATCTTGCCATTGGCATATGTAAATGCAAATTCATTTCCCCTTCCCCCCAAATGTCTGGTACAGTAGAAAGAAAATCTGCTCTAAGATCAGAAAGGTGTCAGTTTGAATCCATTTCTAACACCTGACTGCCTAACGCTGTCCTCAGTTCCAGTTGTAAAACCGGAGGTTATTCATCTCATCAGGATTCTCTAAGGATAATTATGAGTGTTAGAAGACTCGTATTTTCTGGCCGTCTATCACATAAGGTACTTTCAGATATATGGCCCACTGATATGTGATACATCATAAAACAACAACAACAAAATCAAACTCATTGCCATCTAGTAGATGCCGACGTGCAGTGCACACCCCACCCCACCCCTGTGGGTTTCCAAGACTGTAACTGTCTATGGGAGTAGAAATTCCTGTCTTTCTCCCCAGGAGCTGCTGGTGGTTTTGAACGGCTGACCATACGGATTGCAGCCCAATGCCTAACCACTATACTATCATGGCTCCTCATTGATGTTCAATAAGTCAAATGTTTTAAAAAGATATGCTGGTCTGAAGACATTAAAGTAAGTCTCCATACATAATTAAGATTTGTTCTGGGACTAAGTCTTACTTTGAAGATCTCCCTAATTGAGGTTACTTCTAACTCATCTGTGATACTAATTTTCAATGACTACCTAATGTCACCCCCTACCATTTACTTTTGGAGAGCACTTTATGCCTGAGGAGTCTTTTGGACACAAAGATTCATCTAAGCCTGCGAAAATGCTATGAGATCAACAGGCATATAATACATTGCCCCGATTTACATCTGACACTTGAGGCTCAGAGGAAGTAGGTAGCGGACTTTTTCTAGGCCATAAAGCTGGTAAAGGGCAGAGCCAACTTAAGAACTAAGCCCCGAAGGTCTCCAACTTTCATATCTTTGCCAAACTGCGTCCTACTGAGTTATTTGATCGTCAAATAGCCCTTCCCTTCCTTCCTTGTACATGAAGAAGGTGGCACTAGCCCTAACGGTTATATTCCTAACCCTGGAAAGTGGCAGGTGACTCCTGATTAGTTAGCTAGGACATCAAATGGGAAAGACCATAATGAAGATAGGTTATAACTCGATAGCGAAGAGTCGCCATTTAGGAAAAGATGAATAATTTGCCCTCTTTTCTCCAAATAGAGGAACATCTGCTGAAGAAACTAAGTAGATTTCTTATACCTTTGGCTTCCAAGCCAATATTTGTCATGAAAATATTTTCCATTTGCATCATCAAACATAAATAAGAAGGTACAGCTCATGTGTATTTACTGCACCTGCCTAAACAGATTCTGTTCCTCTCCCCATGACCAGCTGACTGCTCTGGTCACAAAAAGCTCACACACAACATCCTTCCTGCATTTGTCTTATCTGGCATTGATTTCACTTGGCATGGAGTTAACCTGTCATTCAAATTGGTAGTTATTCTCAGGTCTCCAATTGAATAACATACCACCCCCCACCTTGTCCGATTTAGGCAGACCACAACTGAAACCAGCTAGAATGGGGGTCAAACTCTAGCCTACCACATTTTTAAAATGACTTGTGAGAGAAGAATAGTTCCAGTAGTTTTAAGTGGTTGAAAAAGTCAAAAGAGGACTATTTTGTGACACATGAAACTTAAATTGCAATGTTACAAAGTGAAGTCTTGGGACAAGCACTCTTGTTTACATATTATTTATGGCTCCTGTCTCACTACCATGGCAGAACTGGAGAGTAATGGCAGTAAGCATATGGCTCACAAAGCCAAAAATATTTATTACCTGTCCCTTTACAGAAAAAAAAATCAGCCCCTGATCCAGAAAAGTGAGCAAAGGAAATATCTTTCTTTTCTTTCTTTCTTTTTAATATTTAAGGCTCATAAACAGTCAGACCATGGATTCTACTGGGTACAATAATTAGGTATTCTACCGAGCAAAGGGGGTGAAGAGCCCCTCCAGGCTCCAATCTCCTAGTAGAGAAATTAGTTGTAGATTCACGGGATTACCTTCTGTCTGTTAGCCATCCAAAGGTGATATTGCCGATAATATCAATCACCCCCAGGATGGACATCAGAAAGGCAGCTTGCTGGTGACTCACTCCAACACTCAAAGCATAAGGCACCAAGTAGACAAACAGAGGGCTGCAGCCGTAAGCCATAAACAGAACAGAGATGGCTAGCACGACAAAGTCTGACATCAGTAAAAAACTGTATTCCTGCTGCAAAGAGCAACAAAGGCAGGTCTGCAGCCATTCTTTGGTCAAAGGTGGACAGGGAGATGCCCACCGGAAGTCTTGTTTCTGAGTTCTACAGACATGGTTTGGCTTTGGAGTGGTAGGGTCCTCTTTCAGAGTAATGGGTCGCATCAAGGCTCCACAAACACAGAGATTCAAAACGAAGCCCCCAAGAATGAGTAATGCTCCCCGCCAGGAAAACTGTTCAATAAGAAGCTGAACCACCGGGGCCAGGATGAAGGTACCAATGCCACTTCCTGACATGGCGATCCCGTAAGCAAGGGCTTTCCGTCTGCTGAAATATTTGCCAACCATGGCGATTGCTGGGGAGTAGCAAAGTGCAAATCCAAGACCTGGAGATAAAGAGAGCTCCGTAAGTATATCATGGACAACTAAGATCTATATACACACAGGCAATTCTATTTTATTGGATTAAAGGGAATCTGACCTTCTGTTAACCCTTTTCAAGCTGTTCTACGTCAAGTGAACAGAAGTAACCTGTGACCTCTCATCCACATTGTGGAAAATATAGCCTATGTGATTTTCTTCTTAGAAAGAAATACCAAGCTAGCAGGCAAAGGGCATTTATAGAGGTCTAAATAAAGGCATGTACATGTGTAAATATATTTATATATGAGGATGGAGAAATAGATTTATGTGCATATATTTACAGGTTTAGTATTAAGGTAGCAGATGGACATTGGGCCTCCACTCAAGTGCTCCCTCAATGCAAGAATACTTTGTTCTATTAAACTGGCGTTCCATGATGATCACCTTCCCGACACGATCGCTGAAGATAAAGCGGGTACATAAGCAAAAGTGGTGAAGAATGCTGATGGTACCTGGCTATCAAATGATATAGCATCCGGGGGTTTATAGGCTTGAAGACAAACAGGCGGCCATCTAGCTAAGAAACAACAAAGCCAATATGGAAGAAGCACTCCAGACTACATGAACGCTGAAGACAAAGCGGTTGCATAAGCAAATGCGGTGAAGAAAGGTGATGGTGCCCAGCTGTCAAAATATATAGAATCTGGGGTCCCACAGGCTGGAAGATAAACAAGGGGCCATCTAACTGAGAAACAACAAAGCCCACATGGAAGAAGCACATCAGCCTGTAAGATGACAAGGTGTCGAAGGGATCAGGGATCAGGTATCAGGCATCAAAGACAAAAAAAAAAAAAAATCATAGCATTGTGAATGAGGGGGAGTGCAGAATGGGGACCCAGGGTCCACTGGGGGAAGTTGGACATCCCCTTGCAGAAGGGCTGTGGGGAGGAGATGAGCCAATCAGAGTGCAGTGTAGCAACAATGATATATACTATTTTCCTCTAGTTCTTAAATGCTTCCTGCCCCCCACTATCTTGATCCCAATTCTACCTCACATATCCGGCTGGACTGGAGGATGGACACTGGCACAGATAGGAACTGAAAATACAGTGAACTCAGGACAGATAAACCCCTCAGGACCAGTGAAGAGAGTGGCGATATCGGGAGGGTGGAGGGAAGGTGAGGGAGAAAGGGGGAACAGATGACAAGGTCTACATATAACCTCCTCCCTGGGGGATGGACAGCGGAGGAGTGGGTGAGGGAGACGTCGGATGGTGTAAGATATGATAAAATAACAATAATTTATAAACTATCAAGGGCTCAGAGGGAGGGGGGAGTGGGGAGGGAGAGGGGAAAATGAGGAGCTGGCACCAAGGGCTCAAGTAGAAAACAGGTGTTGTGAGAATGATGATGGCAACATATGTACTAATGTGCTGGACACAAACGATGTATGTACGGATTGTGAAGAGTTGTATGAGCCCCTAATAAAAAGATTATAAAAACAACAAAAAAGAAAAAGCAGCCTGAATATATGCCCCATTTTAGCTTCCATGTAAGGGTCTATTTTAGGAGTCCTGAGTGGTGGCCGCGGGCTTCACTTGGCTGCTAACCTCGTTTGAATCCACCAGCCACTCCGCTGAAGAAGGACAAGACTGTCTCTGCTCCTGTGAGAATTTACCACCTCAAAAACCCTAGGGAATGCTTCTCCTTGGTCCTACAGCATTACTATAGATTGGAATTGACTTGATGGCAATGGGTTGTTCTTTAAGTCAAGAAAGGCTAAAGGGTTTAAGCATGATTTTGATGTGATCTAGATGCTAGGGAATGAAAAAGAGACTTCAGCTTCTGTTCCCAGCTGTGGTGTACTGTGGCCGACCATCCAACATGCACGGATGAGGAGCTTTCCTGGACATGGGACTTCGTGCTAAAAGGAGGTCAATCCCGGGAAGAGCCATTAGCCTGGCAGCTGGGTCCTTTGGATTTCTAGGGGTAGATGGGTACATAAATAGTTCGCAGAACTAGAGTTTCAGATTCACTTGGAGACTCATTCTTTAGTAGCTGGATTCATGTATCCCTATGGTACTGGGCCTGGACAGGTGTTCACGTTACTCTCAACGTTCTGAGAGTTGGGGCCATCCTGTACTCCAGGTCCACCCACTAACCCCACCTTGAACTTATGCAGTCCCCTGACGTGTGACTTATGGAATGCATATCTATTGCTTCTCATTATGATTCGTTAATGTGATACTTCCAGATCATTGAGAGAACATATGATATGAAAGTATTCGCAATCAGGGGCTCTCTTTTTTAAAGTAGAAAGGCTTCATTTATCAGACAATAGTAGTCACTATAAAACGGGCAACACAGACTGATTGCAGGTAATATTTTAATGTCTTAGCAAAGATATTAGGAGAATGATTGTGGCTAAGAATCTGCCACCCTGACTATCTTATGTTTTCTGAGTGTAGAATCTCAGCCACACACTGCTGCCAATGGGAGAGCCAGCTGTTCTTGGGATCATATGACTGGATGGAAGGAGGGGTGCATTGTCGTTAGCTTGGTGCAATCAACATCATTTCTAGCTCTTTTGTTGCTGTGTTAAGTAGGTAAGCATAAGTTGGGTTAGCTAAACTTTACATCTAGCAAAGTGAATACTTTATGAATTACAGTTCTGTTGATGTACTTGGCAACATCTGAGTAAGATGGAGTGAGACAAGTGGCACAAGGGACTCTTACCTGTAAGAACTCCCAGAGTGAGGTAGAGGTGCTTCAGGCTGGTGGCAAATGAGCCCAGGATGAGGCCAGTAGATGCAAGCAAGCCACCCAGCATGATTCCCACTTGACAGGATAAATGGTTACTGACAACACTCCCGAGTGGAGCTTCAAAAAACAATAAGAAAGCAGTTTAACAGAAAGGTCTTGCAGGCATTGGGAAAAGGCTGTGGTGTGGCATTGGCAGAGGCGCAAACAAGCAGCCGAAGGCCTACATTCACCCCATTCACTCTACAGATTTGGAAACAGCAGCTCAGAGAATGAAGAGGAGGTGGCTTGTTCACGGTTACACAGAGAGAAGCAGCAGAGCTGCAAGTAGCACTCAAGTCCCCTGACTTGCATCCCAGTGCTTATTTCACTTTTCATACTATAATCATAACTCTGAACTATGGGAAGTTTTTCACCGGTGGACCAATTCTTAATTTACATGTCACTTGCATAGGGATGTGCCTTATATGCTTTGTCCTGTATTCATTGTACATGATAAGAAATAATGGTGGCATTTCATTGGTGGGGAACAGAGATGGGCAACAGTGTGAGACCAGCGATGTCATGTATGGAAACACCAGGAGAGAGACCATCGGTAAATTCCACAATCTAGCACGTCTTTCTGACTTCAGGACACCCTGTGGGTGGGAATTCTAAGCCTAAAAAAAAAATCTAGGAAAATGCTTCCCACCCAGAGAGACATTTTGGTCAGCTTCACCCTACTGGTGGCTTAGTAACACATCAGAATGGTGTTTACAGCAAGGCTTGTAAAATATAAATCAAACGCAAGGAGAACTTGAGACTCAGAAGGATATGACATGCCCAAGGACATGAAGCTATCTGATACAGAGTGCATGCGCATTCCCCCCATGACTCTTGCTCATTGAGTCCCCCAGGCTGATGACAGAGGTGATGGATGGGGAAGGGAGGGTAGAGGGAGAGTGGGTAGGAAAGAGGGAACCGATTACAAGGAACTATATGTGACCTCCTCCATGGGGGACAGACAACCGAAAAGTGGGTGAAGGGAGACGTCGGACAGGGCAAGATATGACAAAATACCAATTTATAAACTATC